TCGTGCTGGGGCGTGGTCGTGCTGGGGTGGGGTCGTGCTGGAGTGGGGTCGTGCTGGGGTGTGGTCGTGCTGGGGTGGTCCGCACCCTGTGACTTATCGATCGGGTCGTGCTGGGGTGTGGTCGTGCTGGTGCTGGGGTGTGGTCGTGCTGGGGTGTGGTCGTGCTGGGGTGTGGTCGTGCTGGGGTGTGGTCGTGCTGGGGTGTGGTCGTGCAGGCAACCACTCAACCAAGGCGGTGTGCTCGTGCTGGGGAGTGGTCGTGCTGGGGGGTGGGCGTGCTGGGGGGTGGTCGTGCTGCGGTGTGGTCGTGCTGGGGGGGTGGTCGTGCTGGGGTGGGGTCGTGCTGGGGCGTGGTGGTGCTGGGGCGTGGTCGTGCTGGGGCGTGGTCGTGCTGGGGTGTGGTCGTGCTGTGGTGAGGTCGTGCTGGGGTGTGGTCGTGCTGGGGTGTGGTCTTGCTGCGGTGGGGTCCTGCTGGGATGTGGTCGTGCTGGGGTGTGGTCCTGCTGGGGTGTGGTCGTGCTGAGGTGGGGTGTCGTGCTTGGGGTTGGGGTTTCGCGGTGGGGTGTGGGCGGTCTGGGGTTGTGGTCGTGCTGGGGTGAGGTCGGCTGGGGTGGGGGTGTGATGGGTCGGTGGTCGTGCGGGGGTGTGGTCGTTGCTGGGGTGTGTGAGTTGGGTTTTGTGTCGTGCTGGGGCGTTGAGTGGTCTGTGCTGGGGTGGGGTTCGTTTTCGTGCTGGAGGTGGGGTCTGTGCTGGGGTGTGGTCGTTCTGGGGTGTGTTCCGCACCCTGTGTCTTTACGTTCGCGGTCGTGCTGGGGTGTGGTCGTGCTGGGGTGTGGTCGTGCTGGGGTGTGGTCGTGCTGGGGTGTGGTCGTGCTGGGTGGGTCGTGCTGGGGTGTGGTCGTGCTGGGGCGTGGTCGTGCTAGGGTGGGGTCGTGCATTTCGCTCGAGACATCCTGCCAAAATTCCAGGAAATCGTACAAAAACAAATGGAATTAGTCGAGACATCATCGAAATTCCTTCGCGCGGGGCGCTTTTCCGCGTCGCGGTCGGCTCTGCAAAACAAGCGTTTCGCTCGAGACATCCTCGGCAAACTCTGCGGAGCAAGCGTTTCGCTCGAGACATCCTCAACACACGAAAAAGTGGCCCGCACCCTGTGATTTATCGATCGGGATTTCAAAAACAAGCGTTTCGCTCGAGACATCCTCAAATTTTAATTCGCCGGCCTCCTTCGACCTCGTTATTTATCAGGGAAAAAATTCGCCGGCCTCCTTCAAGCAGGCACCGGGGGATTAGGTTTACCAACTAAAAGAGAACCCTGGGCTCATGCCCTTTCCGGGAAAAAAAATTCGCCGGCCTCCCTCAAGTTGGCACCGGGGGACAGGTTTACCTACTAAAAGAGAACCCTGGGCCTGAGCCCTTTCCGGGAACATACAGGGGCCGATGTTTCCGGCGAGTGCTCGGAGGGGAGGGCGAAGTTGAAGAGGAGGCGGCGTATGTGGAGGGGAGGAGGAGAAGGAAGAGGAGGGAGGAGGAGGAGGGGGAGGAGGAGGAGGAGGAGGAGGAGGAGGAGGAGGACGGAGGAGGGAAGGAACAGGGTTGAAAAACGACGAGGGAGGAGCGACGGGGTGGTGGAGGAGGCAAGGGGACGGAGAAGACGAGGGAATGATGAGTAGGAGGAGGAGGAGGAGGAAAAGGAGAGGAGGAAGAGGATGGAGGCGGCGGAAGGAGCAAGAGGAGGAGGAGGAGGATAGAGGAGAAGGAGGTAGGAGGAAGGTGGAGGAGGAGGAGGATGAGGGGAGGGGGAGGGTGGAGGAGGTGAGGAGGAGGAGGAGGAAGGAGCGGAGGGGAGCCAGGAAGGAGGAGGAGGAGGCGGAACGGGAGGAGGAGGGAGAGGAGCTGCATGCTCTCTACGTAAGGCGGCCGGCCCGCCCTAGCCCTTCGTGCAACTTTTTGTCCATTTCTGCTCCTAGAGTGGACTCGGGACCGATCAGTGCATCAGAGGAGGAGGAGGAGGAGGAGGAGGAGGAGGAGGAGGAGGAGGAGGAGGAGGAGGAGGGGCGGGGGAGAGGAGGAGGATCATCGGGCAGAGGGAGAGGACCGGGACGGCAAGTAGTAGGGAGAGGAGCTGGGAAGGTTTTGCGAGGATGTGCGATGGCGAAATGAGGGAAGGAGAACGGGAGGATGGAAAGGTGGGAGTCATGGAGAGAGTGACGGAGCGAGGAAGGAAGGGAGGAGGAAAGTTTTAGCAATGAGGAGGGATGCGGAAGGCTCTGGGAGGAGTGAGGAGGGAAGAGGGAGGAGGAGGAGGGAAGGATCAGGGGGATCAGGGGGCATGGGAGAATGAGGAAGGAACACATGCACATACTTGAGATGGAGGGGGGGCAGGGGGAACGAATCGATGGCGCGAGTCAGAATATGATCTCGAATCACAAGGGAAACGACGAAAGCCTGCAGGCGGCTGGTCGAATTAACGCGGCAAGGTGCCAGCGAATCTTCGGATGCCCAGCTCCGTGCCCCCTCCTGCTCGTCCTGGAGGTTCCCAGAGGCCTCCCGAGGTCCACGATTCCCCAGTCCCGCCTCTACTAGAGGCCCTGGAGGCCCAGAGAGAGCCAAATTCGGCGAACAGATTCGATCCTGGGTGCTAGATACTCGCGCTTTGCCGCGATGTGGCTGAGGAGGCCGAGGGACATCTGAATGTTGATCCCGTCCGCCGCAGGTACGCCTTTGTTGATCGCTCGGGAGAGGTCGCCGGCGCGCCAAGTTGGCCATCACGTCCACGCCGAACCAGGACAATCCCTTGATGGATGGCGTCGAGGACGCGCTTCTGCATGGGGGCAGAGAGGAGAGCGAGGCACGGGTTGAAGGAGGAAAGGGATGACAGAGGCTCGAGGTTTTTAGACATGTTCGCCACAGTCGTTTCCTCGGCATGGTGGGCCCCAACCCACGGTGAGCGGTGGAGCGAGGAGGAGCTCTTCGCACGTTGCCGTCTCGAGGAGGCGTGGCTCGAGCAATGGACGCCCCAGCAGCGGTCCCGTGTGTCGAGGCTTCCCGACAGCGAGCTTCGAGCCATCTGCTCGTGCGGCCCGTGGTTAGGTACAGCGTTGGTTGGCACTGTAGGGGCATCTGGAGGCCTCCAGGTGCCCGCGGGAGGCCTCCAGAGCGATCTCCGGAGGCCTCGGGCGACCTCGGCAGCCGTTCCTTTGAGAAGGAGGACGCGAAGGCAGGGCAGCAGGAAAGAGGAGGAGGAGTAGGAGGAGGAGGAGGGGGAGGAGGATTGCCAGCCTGAACCAGATACTTATCCCTGCGGCTGGCATCACCTTATCTCGATACCGATCTTGAGGATTCCTTCAGATCCTGAGAGCGCATTGCATGATTGTTCTCGCATTTGGGCTTGACAATGTCAGGGGTAGAGATAAGCTCGAGGCTGGTTGGAGCAGCACGTACCGTGGTACGGCAGGTTCGCGCCGCGCTTACGCGGCGGCGATTCCAGCGTGGGCGGCCAATGTAGAAAGCCGCTGGTGGCCTGGAATCGGCAAGTGTCGAACGATCGGCGCCACCAGAAAGCCGCGGTCATTCAAGGTTGAAAGATACACGCGGTGCAAGAAACCACGAGGCGGTCTGTGCGCGTTGACGTATCAGGCGCTCGTGGCAGTGGGCTGCATTGATGACTGGTACAAAGACGAGAAAAGGTCCAATAGGATTTCAGCGAATCTCACCAGTCGAATATAATGCCCAACCCCGCCACCCGATAATTTAGAAGTATGTATTTTGCCAATGTGATGTTCATGTCGTCTCTTCATTCGCAGGCGGTGCACCTTGTGTTTTCATGTGCCCCGTTCTTGGTGTTCGTTCGCAAGTCCCCGGTGGTGTCGCGAGTGGGCGTCGAGGGTGCGGATCGAGACATATTTTTCCAAATGAGTTCCAGACCGCTTTAAACGGGGATGGGGCATCAGATGTCACTGCTTAGTTTCATCCTTCTTCTCCTCCTCCTCCTCCTCCTCTCCTCCCCCCCCTTCGAGGGCACCCCGGGCATCCCCGTGCTGGGCTGCGACGTCTGGGAGCACGCCTACTACCTGAAGTACCAGTACCAGCGCCCAGCCTACATGAAGGCGGGGACGAGGAGGGAGAGAGGGAGGTAGGCACGGCAGGAGGCCCCAGCCACTTTGGCTCCAGCTGGCTCGCGCCGCGCCCCCCCTGCGCGGCGGTCGGGTGGTGCGAGCATGGTGGCTGCGGAGCCTCCTCGGCGCCGCAGGGGCGCGCGCCTCTGCCGATCCCCTGGGTTCGGCGACATACTGCAGAGCTCCGAGTGGTTCGAGGTGAAGTTCAGCGGGCGCCGCCGGCGTCTGCGCGGAGATATCTCGCCGTGGGGCCCTAGCGAGGCCCGTTGTGATGGCGGAGGGTGCCGGCTGCACGGTGCAGGGGACGGAGGAGCTCTTCCGGAGTGTGGCCCTGCATGCCAAGCAGTGTCCTCGAGTGGGAGCGCCGCTCGCAGAGTGGCGCCAGGCGCAGAAAAGTCCCCGCCTTGAGGGCGGCGTCGGCGCCGAGCACTGCGTGGAGGGATCGATGGTCCCCATTGTGCGTGAGCTGCTGCAGCGCCAGGGCGGATGCCCGCAACGCGACGTCGGCGGAGGCGGCGCGGGGCTCCTTGCTGGCTAGGGCTGGCAGACAGGTCACAGGTCACTGAGCCCAAGTATGGCGACAGTGCATCGTCTGGATTGCGTGCCCAGGCTGATGGTCTTGTTTTCCACCACCACCACCATAAGTTGGAGGGGGGAAGGAGGTGCAGGAGGAGGAGGAGGAAAAAGAAGAGGGGGAGGAGGACCCCCTCCCCCCTCCAACTTATGGTGGTGGTGGTGGAAAGCAGGCCCATCACAGGCGGTCAGCTTCTGTCCACGACGGGGTCCCGCTGCCGACAGCCACGGAGGAGCCTTACCAGGTGAGATGCGCATGTGGAGCTATGGTTATTTCTTGTTGTGGTCATATCGGGGTCACGGAGCAGAGCGAGTGTACGCAGCATTGCGACCAAGGGGGCAAGTCGCTGGAGCGTGTGGGCAGCAAGCTCAGGAAAGGTGCAGCCGAGCTTGTTACGTTGGAGACGTTGCACGTCGACACGCTTGTCCTCTGTGAGCGGGATGGTCCCTTGGAGCAGCCCTTCAAAGCCAAGCCCTAGAGGCTGCTGGATATGGAGAGGCCGGCGTTATTAGAGGCGCTGCACGGGGCTGCGTTCCGCCTTTGCGAGTCCGACGGCCCTTGGAAGCAATCCTCCAAAGCCAAGCGAGATCAATTGCTGGCAAAAGGAGGGCGCAACGTTGATGAGGCCTCGGACGTCGATGTTGATACTGTGGTCAGAAATCTGGGAAGCGTTATCAGCACAATTTCCAAGTGACTCCAATGTGTCGTTCCTGGTTATGCCGTGGCGTTAGCGTGCCATACATGCGCATGTGTCGCCAGCATATATGAGATGGGATGGGCTCGTGTGCGGCGCTGTGGTTCCTGCGCCCGGCCGCGGAGCTGAGTCTCGTGCGCTGCGCTGTGTGCTGCCACCCGTCCGCGGAACCCATCATTGACATGTTTGTCCCTCCTGAGCAGCTTGGTCGATCGTGGATTGGCTATATCAAAGCGAGAGCCGCTAGAGAACGGGAGGAGGCGGAGGAAGAGGAGGCGGATGTGGCGGAGGCGGAGGAGGAGGAGGCCGAACGGGAGGAAGAAGGAGGACGACGATTTGGAGGAGGGCGGTGTCCGCCATCGTTCACGCGTGCAGTGTGTTGGTTTCGTTGTCTTGAGGCATTTCTGCAGGCTGTGTGCAGCGGGGGAGGAGGACAAGGACGGTCTGAAGGAGAACAGTGGCACGTATGCGGCTCAGTGTGTTGAACATGAGAAATGACCACCGCAGAGACGCACGTTTTTTTGCTTCGAGCGATCCCTACCTGGGAACGCGAGACGGGATCCCCAGGGAGCATCGCCACCCTTGAGGCCTGGCGGCGGCGGCATGTAGTCGTTATTCGCCGAAGACACACTGGGCCAGATCCCCAGGGGACGCTGGCACGCTTTGGGCCTGGCGGCCGCGATACGCAGGGCGTGCAGCGCTTTGGGCCCGGCGGCCTGGCGGTCGCGAGTTCTTCCTTGTAAGTTTAGCAGCCACAGCTTGTCGGGTGGTGGGACAAGGCTCAAGAGGGAGAAGGATAACGAGGGAGGGAAAAGGGAAGATGGAGAATATGGTCCGAGGTGGGGGGAGCGGGAGCTGCTTCCTTCCCGTCATACTGTTCCTCCTCCGCCTCCTCCTCCTCGCTCCTCTTCTTCCCTCTTCTCCATCCTGCGCCTGCTCCCCGTCCTCCTCTTCCTCTACCTTTTCCTCGAGGTGCTTCAGCTTTTGTTTGTTTCTGTTTGTTGGTCCTCCGCGGGCCTCCGAGGGCGCTTCGTCGTTTTTCGTTTCCTCCTCGTCTTTATTTCTCCCTCCTCCTCTTGGTCCTCCATCATAGTGCGGCTCGTCAGTCGACCACGCCTGCGCACTCCCATCGAATCGGATTATGTTGCGCCTCCGTCTTTTACACCAGTAGCTGTTTTGGCACTTACTTTGGCCCGTGCGTTTCGCTTTCTCGGGTAGGGAGTTTCGGCTGTCTGGCCTGACCTGTGCCACCCCCCTTCGGTCGAGCACGAAAAAGCCAGGGCACGCGGAAGTAGATTCTGCGAGCAAATGCGGTGCCTCTGGATGTCGGCGAGGAGAATCGGCCAGCTTTGGCCGATTCATGCGTGCGTGCTCGGCGCTTCCCGATAGATGCGCCAGGCAGGGGTCAAGCTTGCATCGTCGACGCGCCGCGCCCCCCCGAGCCAGGAAGTCTTCAGCTGCGCGAGGTGTTTGCCCGCGACGGGAGCCGGTCAGGGTATTCATTATGTATGTCCTCCAGATCTGAGGGGCTCGGTTTGTTCGGTGGCAAATCATGGGAGCCGTGTGTGCCCTCGTAATTTCGCTTTTGGAGTGCACTAGCACCGGCTAGCGTCTGGTAGTCGATGAGAACGCGTCGATAAGCGTCGACTAGCAACAACTTAGCGTCGACTAGCGTTCCCCAGCGTCGATGAGCGTCTATTGCAAGAGCCAACAAGAAGGTAGGGGAGGCTTCCGTGAGTTCCCGCAGAGCGCTTGCTCTTCCTCTGCATCTTCCCACCCCCTCCTCTATTCGCTCGTCTCGGAAGGGCGTGATCCTCCTCTGCATCTTCCCACGCCCCCCTTCCCTCGCTCGTCTCGGAGGAGCTTGGCCGAGCTCTTGATGTCCGATCGCCTTCTCTCTTGACGGCATGCTGACCGTCCCATCGCCGTATGAATGGTGGAGCTGTCTGCACCAATTTGTTCGAAAGGGGGCGGCCCACCCCCCACGGCGCGCAGCAGGAGACGCATGCGCAAGCGGGCGCGAAGCCCCGCGGGGGGAGGCCTGGTGGGACGTGGTGAACTGGAACGTCGTCAACGCCTGGTACGAGGATGCCCTCAGCGGTAAGGCCCCCACGACCGAGGCGCGCCCGTCTTTGCCGTGCCCCTCCGGATGCCTCCAGGAATTCGAGGGGGGCCTGAGGCGTCAACTTTACTTGATGCTTCCAGGTCGATCCTCCTACGACTTCGATCCCCGAGACTCGATGACCCTTGTCGTCGCGGCTCGGGCATCGCCAGTCACGGGATAGTGCCAGGTTGTCCAGACCAGGTGTTTGAGAGGATGGTCGAGGGGTCGAGGGTCGAGGATCGAGGTGGCAAGGGGGGGGGGACGTTTTTTGGCATCGAAGGGACATCGGAGGCATGTGGCCCAGATCAATCGCGAACAGCCCTGCGCTTCCAGCTAGCTTCAACTGGCCTCCATGGATGCACGAACAAGTACGTAAACCAACAACAAGGAGGTCCTCGCGGCTTTCTGGAGTCGATGCTGAACCCACCCCTGGAGCGCTTCGCGCGCCAGGGGCTGGCGCCGGAGGCGCCGCCAAAAGTTGGAGATCCTCGGGGGCAGCGAAGAGGGGAGTGATGACTACAGGGGGGTGGATCTCATGGCGGGGGCCATGAGATCTCCCCAGGTTTCATGGCGCCGCTTCTCATTCTAATGCGTCCCCCGCCCCCCCCCCTCCTGGCCGCGCACATGCCGCCGGCCTTGATTTGCGCCCCCCCCTCTTGGATGCCCCTCTGTCGGACGCCCCCGAGATCCCCGACCTGCTCGACCCGCTTCTCGGGTCCTCGATCCTGCGCGGCTGCCGCTCGGCTCCTACCCGATCCTGTCTAGGTCACCCCCCGGGGGCGTGCCTCGCGCACCGAGGCCCCTTGAGTCGAGAGGCGCGCTGCTCCAGCGCGGCGGAACGGGGGGGGCGAAGATGACCGCACAGTGCGGGTCGCGAGGCGCAGAGTTTTTGGAGAACAACAGAAGCTTCCAAGACAAGAGAACAAGCCAAGATAACGACATAAAGCACAGAGAGAGAGAGAGAGAGAGAGAAAAAGCAAAACTCTCAGAGTTCCGCGCGGACTTCTTGGATCGGCGCTTGGCCTCCCTGGCGGCGCTGGGAGGCGCCGCCCCTGGCGCGCTCCTCGCGCCAGGGAGGGGGCCCAGCGCCGATCCAAGAATGCTTCGCGCGGACCCTCGACAGTGTAACCCGGTAGGGTCTTTAGAAAAGGGACCCCCCCCCGGTTCTCTCTCCGGGGAATGAAATTCCGCGCCCCCCCGTCCTCCCCCCTCCCTCCCCCCGTCCTCCCCCCTCGCTCCCTCGTCCTCCTCCCTCCCTCTCCCCTCTCCCTCCTCGCTATTGCCCCCCCGCTCACTATTGCCCCCCCCGCAGCCACGTGAGTCTCAAGGTCTTTGAGGCGTCAGCAACGAACTTCCTTTCAGGGCGCTCCAACACAACCTGAGGCCTCGAGGCTCTTTTGAGCCCCCCCCAGACGGCAGACACGCCGTCGGGTGTGAGCCCCCACGAGGACCAGGATGGCGCTGAGGGCGCGGTCTTGGACGAGCTCTTTGAGGACGGGCCGAACGGCCCCCCTGAGGCGACGACGACGACGGACGACGACAACGACGACGGCTGCGACGACGACGACGACGGCGCGGAGGCCGACGGTGGCGGCGAGATCGTTGAGGTCGACGCTGGTGGCGCAGAGGCCCAGGGCGGCGCTGCGACCGCAGAGCCCCCTGAGGCGACAACGACGACGACGCCAACGACGACGACGGCGACGACGACGGCGGCGACAACGACGACGACGCCAGCGACGACGACGGCGGCGACGACGACGACAGCGGCCCTGAGGCCAAACGCCCGAGGGTGAGCCGCCAGCTCGACCTCTTCGGGCGCCCCGTGCCTGAGGAGGTGAAGCGCGGTCCTGGGCGCCCGCCCTTGCCGAGGGCCCGGCCTGAGGACGTGCTGGTCGGTGGCGCCCAGGAGGTTCTGTCCGCGGTGAGGCTGCCCGTCGTGGGCCGCAGCACGCTGACCGCCCAGCTGCTGCAGCGCGTGAGTGAACTGGAGAACCGTCTGAGCGGTGCTGATGGGCCCATTTTCCACGACCGCTACCATAAGTCGGAGGGGAAGGAGGAGGAGGAGGAGGAGGAGGTGGAGGAGAGGCCTGCCCGCCGAAACGCCCTTGGCCATAGCGAAGTGGAGGGCCCCCTCCTCCCTCCCCCCCCTCCCGAGTTAGGTGGGGGACCTCCCTCCTCCCTCCTCCCCCTCCCCCCCTCCTACTTATAGTCGTGGCGATGGAAAAGGGGCCCATCAGGTGCTGCGCCTGGGCCGGCCCTTCCCCTGACGGACGCGGCGCGGGGCGGCGAGGCGGCGCCCCAGATGAGCGAGGAGCACAATCCCTACAAGACGCCTGAGAAGGAAAGCCAGGTTCTGGCGGCGAGCTCTCCGCCTGCTGGTGAGTATGGCGTGAGAGGCGGCAGGCCCCCGAATAGGCCTCGAGTGCAGACTCCTGAGCTTCAGCGGTTGCTTGAGACAAACATGCCTGCGGCAGCGAGGGAGTGCGTGATAAGCAAGTACCGTGGGGTTGGGCGTCGGGCGAAGCATTGCATGTGTCTGCGCGTTGAGAAGGTCCTGAAAGACGTGCAAGATGAGGCTACTGTCCTGAGAGCGATCAAGGACTACGCTGGCAGGAGCATGGGGTGGGTGAAGCACACCTGGAATTACCGTGACGTGTGGAAGGGGACCGTTGACGAGGCTGAGGTTGGAGCTGGGAGTCGCGGGTCGCTGATGAAGTCCGGCCAAGTGAAGAAGAACAGGAAGACGAGGGCCGCCGCGGGGATGAGGGCCACAGGAGGTGGTCGGAAAAATGAGCTCCTTGAGGTCTACGCAGGCGTGAAGGATTGGTTGGAGGCTGAGCGTTCGCACGGGCGCTTCGTAGATAAGGCTGACTTGTTCTCTGAGTTCCAGGCCAGGGCGGAGTCGCCCCTGCTAGCTTGCGACGCCAGGGCGAGGGCGGGTGACAAACTGAGCGTCGTGGAGAAGAAGAAGAAGGCGGCCGCTGAGCGCGCGCTCGAAGCCGCGTCGTCTGAGAACCCCCAGTCCGCGAAGAACCTCACGTACCGGTCGGATGAGATCATGGGACTCGCGGGGGCGAGGCTCTTGAAGCCTCAGCGCCGGGTGCCCCTGACCGCTGATGAGGAGAAGAGGCGCGCCCAGGCCGCGCGGGGGGCCTTCGACGCGAAGATCCACGCCGTGAGCTTCGGAGACGAGGCAACCCTGAGCGAGAGTGGGATTGGCAACCCGAAGCAGTTCTTGGAGAATCGCCATGAGTGCGCCCTGACGTTCAGCGACCCAGGTGCCTTTCTACTGCAAGGCCAGGAGCACTGAGCAAGTCTACGCGGCGCGCGAGGTGGAAGAACGTGGCAGGAGCAAGGCAAACAGCAAGAAGCCTGAGCTGATTGCCAAATCCGACCCTCGGACTCGAGGAGCGAGGCGCGAGGACGCACTGACAAGCGCCTTTGGCGAGGGCGACGAGGAAGAAGACGACGGGCCCGGAAACGACGGTCAGACGCGGAAGCGCGGAGCTGATCACAACGGAGCTGACAAGTTCCGAGTGACTCTTGAGCTCGTGCATCAGGTGCGCCACTGGTTCAACGAGGGCGGCGTTGAGCCCGTCGGCAGGCAGGGCAAGGCTCTCCTGGCGCTGGCGGGCGGCTACGCGCACGAGGGCAACATTGACAACAACCATCGGTTCATTGAGACCAAGCACTTCACGGCGAACGGAAAACCTGCGACGCATGAGAAGGGGAAGTACACAGGCTTGATGTACCACGTGATTGAGCTCAGGAAGACCCTGCTGACTGAGCGCTGGGCTGAGTTGACCGAGAACCTGATCATCGTGCAGCAACCACCAGGCTTCGTTGACAAGGTGATCACGAAGTGGCACCTGGAGCTCCAAGGCACGAGGTACCCGTGCAGCCTGAGCCAGAGAGACCTTTTCACAGGAGCTTACTGCGGTGAGAGCAGGCGGGAGGGCGTCGCGCAACACATCCCCAGGCCATCTGTCCCCTCCTCGATCTTCTGATTGCCATCTTCGTGCGATAAAGCTCTGAGCATAAAACTTGTGATTGCAAGCTTTTGGGCCAGCTCCGCGGGATGCACTCCGAGTAATGCCCGCCGTGCGGGGCATTGGCGGGCGGTTGTTTCTCTGGGCAAGAACTCCTCGTGAGCTACCCACCCTACACGGGCGAGGTTTTCCGAGCCTGTTCGCACACGGCATGTAGTGCAGGTTCGCACCTTCCCCCTCGAATTGCTTCTCTTCCTCGTCGTCCTCCCCCCCTCCGCCTCCGCTGCCCCCCCCGCCTCCTCGTGCAAGGCATGTTTCGGGGCCTGTTCGTGCAAGGCACGTAGTGCAAGATCGCTCCGTCTCGAATCGCTGTTCAGTGTCAGTCAGTCCAGATCAATCCAGCCAGCCCCCCATCAGTCCCCATCGCCCCAAGCAGTCCCCATCATTCCAATCAGTCCAACCAATGCCAGTCAACCCGATCAGTCCCCATCAGTCCAACCTGACCCATCAGTCCAATGAGCCCCTCCCTGCCCGCTCGGCCAGGATTCGACTCCCGTAATTGGTCTCCGTGATGGGCATTGGTGGGTGGTTCTTTCTCGTGGAAAACAACCCCGCGCGGGCTACCCAACGCGGGGGGGGGTTTCGGAGCCTGTTCGTGCAAGGCGCGTAGTACAATATCGCTCCGTCTCGAATCGCTGTTCAGTGTCAGTCAGTCCAAATCAATGCAGTCAGCCCCCCATCAGTCCCCATCATCCCAAGCAGTCCCCATCATTCCAACCAGCCCAATCAATGCCAATCAACCGAATCAGTCCCCATCAGTCCAATCTGACCCGTCAGTCCAATCAGTCCCTCCCTGCCCGCTCGGCCAGGATTCGATTCCCGATATTGTTCGCCGTGCTGGGCATTGGTGGGTGGTTCTTTCTCTTGGAAAACAACCCCGCGTGGGCCACCCTACGCGGAGGAGGTTTTCGGAGCCTGTTCGTGCAAGGCACGCAGTACAAGATCGTTCCGTCTCGAATCGCTGTTC